AGACAATAGACTAAAAATTGCCTCCTGCTACCAAAATGAAGCCAGATCCAGCACAGGAAAATTAGCTTCACCCTGTGGGTGTCCAGCTCCAATTATATAGTAGCTTCTAATTATAAAACATTATTATTCAGTTTAAGAAGAATGGCCATGAACTTCAGCCTCTCATTAAAATTAAGAGTTTATTTGCTTAAAGTTGCTTGTTTGGAAAAACTGCTAGTGATGGCTTTGTTTATACACACAACCGTGTATGAACGTGCAAAGGCACACACACAGGCAGAATGTTGCATTTAGAATCTGGCAGACATTTGAATTTTTAGGACGTAGTAGCAAGTATTTTGGGTGACATATTCATATTTAATTCAATGAACTGAAATTCATGCTTGCCAGTGAGAAAAGAAAAAAAAGGAAAAAAAAATGGGAATGAGTTAATCAGACATGAACAGCCCAAAGGCATAGAGCAGAGTGAGGAGAGTAGATGTATGAGGATACAGGGACTGATATGTGGAAATGATTCCATGCCAATATTGGAACGAATCTGTGGGGGTACCTAGAGGTCTCTCCTTTAGAGAGTGGATCCTCAGAGATCTATGTTTTCCACGACATTCTGCCCTAACATGGAGGGTGTGTTAGACAACCTCCCTGCCATGGGACAGATGGGAGCTGAGACAGGACTGCCGATGGTCTGGGAGCAGTCATCCCCCTCCGCATCACTCGCTGGTGGACATTTCTATCAGTGCAGGTCAGCAGACAATTAACAACTAAAACAGTGAGCTTGAGCCTCTGCAGGGGGTTTTTAGACTCAAACCTCTCATTGGGAGACAAGCAAATGCAATCAGAATTAAACTATAAGAGCACAGCATAAGCCCCTTCCTTTCCTTCCTAGTTGGCTAAGTCTGCATGTCACAGTGATGCAGAAAAAGTTCATTCTGGAGGAGGCACTGGTCTATCTTTCTGAGCCAATCCACAGCTCTCTGGCATCACGGGGAGCCCTGTCCAAACCGTGATTTACCCAGGGCAGCTCTCCCCAGGTCAAATTTCAGTGTCAGCTCTGCAGGAAGCCGCCACAATCATTTTCCGGCCACTAATGATAAAATCTGCTAAGTGGGAGAAGGAGTGGTGAGGATTGCAGTAGAGTAATAAAAAAACAAATGAACCAGTTGCAGTAGAGTAATAAAAAAACAAATGAACCAGGGTTTTCTAGAATGGATCACCAGTAGGAAATTAGGTGTAATTCTCCTCTCTCCCAGGCGCGTAGTTGACTGAGAACAGGGAGCTACAGCTGGACGCTCAGGAAAGCAGCAGCTGTGGTGTGTTTCTCCACTCACAGAAGGAACCAGTATGGTGCATTTTGGTTTTTTTAGAAAATAAGATATGCGCAATGCAGCAAATTCAACAAGAATCTTGAATTCAGGATTTCTAGCAGTAGTAGCAGGAGCTCAGATTTTTTTTAATTTGCATAATCCAGAGGTCCCAGATCTCTGAATTTTATTCTAAAATTCACAGTTGCTGAATCAACAAAGAATGGTTCGTATCAGTAACACCACCTTCTCCAAAAAACACTTGTTTCTGAAATTCCAAGTTTATGGGGCTTGGCAGGATTGGGGAATGGGGGCTGGGAGGTGTGTTATGCTTTATTCTGTTACTATGTGTATTCTTAGTTTGATTAAAAACAGTGTGCTCACCTGATACCCAGGCAACAGTGTTTCTGAGCTAAAGAGCTTGTAACACACATACATACATAAACATCTTCTTTATCATATAAACTGAACGTTAAATAATTCTAAAATAGATTTATTACACAGCTAAATACTGCCCCAAAGACTGTTACTGAGCTTATAATGATTGACAACAGTGTAGCACAGTGAAGTATAAGAACGAATGATTGTTCTGTGCATACATGTGTTAGTCTACATGAGCACATACAAAAACTATGCATTTGATATCTGGCTCACATTTGAATTTTTAGGACACCATAGGTAGTCTTTTGATTGTATATTCATGAGCGATGCATTCATATTTAATGAATGAAACAAAAACGGCCTTTTGCTAGTCAGCAAAATAAAATGATGAAATGAGAATGAGTTAATTCGGAGATGAATAGCCAAACAACCTGGCAGAACTAGGTGGATGAAAGAGTATAGTAGAGTAGTGAGAAAAACATTCCATTTCAATGATAGAACAAATCCACGATTAAATGTGGTATTAAATTTGGTTATTTGTAGATAATTTTTTTGTCATTCCTTAATCTTCTTAAACTTCTTTTTTTTTTGGTGAGGAAGATTGGTCCTGAGCTAACATCTGCCAATCCTCCTCCTTTTGCTGAGGAAGACAGGCCCTGGGCTAACATCCATGCGCATCTTCCTCCACTTTATATGGGACGCCGCCACAGCATGGCTTGACAACTAGTGCGTCGGTGCGCGCTTGGGATCTGAACCGGCGAACCCTGGGCCGCGGCAGCAGAGGGCGTGCACTTAACCACTTGGGCCACGGGGCTGGCCCCAATCTTATTAAACTTTTTCGTTACATATTTCCATATCAGATGACATCTTAGTTTCATTTATGCTTATTGGGTCATGGAGGTTTCTTTGGTTATTATTTTAGTACATAAAGTATTTTTTGTCTTTCTTCCTCCCAAATGGAAATCAGACAACAGTCACTTTGTGACACTTGAATTTCCTGACTCTTAAGAGAAAGGACCTCTAGCAGAATGTTAATCCACTTTAAATCCATCTTTATAAGCTGAACAACTAGAGTCATTACAAAATAAGTCTTATTTTTTAATGTCATACTTGTCACACATTATTTTCTATCCTTTTTAATGTAAATATGATTCTCAAGTATTTTATATCTATATACACACACACACACATATATGAAACGATTTGTGTTTCTTTGCCTATCAATCATAGAATTGTGTGCCTTGGATGGCTTAAAAAAATAAAGTGTGTGCCTCCTCAAGAACTCTTTCACAATTTCTTAATTCCTTTAAGCCTTTCTTCGTGAAAGTAAGGCACCGTGTGGCTAAGGCTAGGCTTATGAAGACTTCTAGGTAATACGCCTCTTCAAATAACCTAGAAAGAAACGGCTCTTAAGATCTTAAGTTATATGTATTTTTGAATATTAAGATTTTAACTCACATAAAACTATTAAGTATTCCATCTTTTTACCAGGAATACTCAACAAATTTTTAATTACTATTACAACTGCTTCAAAATCTCACTGAGGGGGCCGGCCCCGTGGCTTGGCGGTTAAGTGCACGCACTCCGCTACTGGCGGCCCGGGTTCCGATCCCGGGCGCGCACCGACGCACCGCTTCTCCGGCCATGCTGAGGCCGCGTCCCACATGCGGCAACTAGAAGGATGTGCAACTATGATGTACAACTATCTACTGGGGGGCTTTGGGGAAAAAAAAAGGAGGAGGATTGGCAATCGAAGTTAGCTCAGAGCCGGTCTTCCTCAGCAAAAAAGAGGAGGATTAGCACTGATGTTAGTTCAGGGCTGATCTTCCTCACAAAAAAAAAAAAAAAAAGAAGAAAAAAAGAAAGGAGAGGGAAATAAGAAAAAAAAAAAACCTCACTGAGAATCTATTATATGTGATCTAGATGGCTAACCTAGATACCATAGTAACAACTTAAACAGTTTTCATAATATGGCAATCAGAAATGAGACTTCTCATTATTTTTTAATCCATGTAATCGTAAGCCTCTAATTTTCTTTCTAAATTGGAATGTTAGGTTTCTTTGTCCTGCTCACAAAGCACATGGAAGAATTTGTTTTGATATAGAGTAACTAAGCCAACACTGTTTCTACTATGAAATATGAATTTCCCCCAAAACAGTTTCATTTCAAAATATGAGACAACAGGTCACAGTCCCTAAATTTCAAGTAGTTAAGTCTAAAGGCTGAACAAAGGCTCTCAAAATACAATCTCAGGATCTATAGTATTTAATTCTCTTAGAAGCTAATATCTCTAAGTATTTTATTGTGGATGATAAGTAAGTAGTGACAGGTCTTTGGCTCAATAAACTGCAGTAACTAAAATGATCTGTTTTAGATGTATTAATGCCACTTTTAAAGATGACCACATTTACTGCTCTGACCCAGTGTGAAATAAACAGGGGTATTTTCCAGCATCTTTTTGTTTTTTCCAGAATAAATTTGCTGAACCTTTGGTTCTCATCCCTCCCCAATTCACCTGTAAAGCTAATGCTTGTCTGAACTGAAAAATACACTTAAGAGTCGGCCTAGACAATCACCCCAAACCTTCAAGAAGGATGTGTAAATTGCATAAATTGCATTTTAAATATGGTCATCACACTTATTAAATTTAAATATTTAAATTTAGAAAGAAACACATATTCTCTTCTGGCATTTGAATTTCTGATTTTATTCCTTTTCTGATTTTTCGAAATGGGAGCCCTTCTTGTCTTTGGTCCATCCTATTACACAGTGATTTCTCTTAACAGCTGATCTTTTTAATGAGGTGTTCTTATACACAGCTGTTTCCTTGGCGTGTTGTGTTAATATACTCACATATGTTACAGTTATATTCAGTGTATACTGCAGTCAGACTTCTGCACCCTAAACTGAGACCCTTCCACTGGTCAATGAGGGGGTCCTTCTGCTTTATGATTCTCAACCACAGCAACAAAAACAATCGTCAAAAAGTCTTGGGTAGGATTACAAAAAAACAGAGAAAAAGACAACTGTTCAAGACAGGTGAGAAACACAGTAAGAAGGGTCCTGAAGTGGGGCTTCCATGAGAGTGCACCCATGACATCTGATTTATTAATTTTAAAAAGAACATACCAAAAAAAAAAAAAAGAACGTGAGGCTTCCTGCTTCGGTAGAACCTGTTTTGATATTGCGGAAATTAAAAAAAATCACAGATTATTTCTGCAGTGAGCTGAGACCTCCAGAGAATGCCAAGAACACCCAGACTCTAAGTCACGGGGCGGCAGAGAAGACTTGCAGGCGGCCAGCGCCGCGCGAACGCTTACCTGGACCGAGCCTCGGCGGGGAACGGCGAGTCCCCAGCGGCGCGGCTCGGGGAGGCGGGCTGCCGCGGCGAGGACAGGGACGCGCCACGCACTTGCTTGGGGGACCGTGGCACGTCACTGACGGAGGCGTCTGGCCCGGGGCACGGGAAGCACGGGGAGGTCTCCGCCGCGGCGGCGCTCTGCCCCTGAGCGCGTCGCTGGTTCTCCACGCCGAGCGGCACCTCGGCGTCGGCCACGCCGTCGCTCCCGCGGGCCGCGCAGCCCCTGCACTCCGCCGCGCCCGCCCTGAGCCCCGCGCCCTCGGGCCTGGAGCAGAGAGAACTCGGCTCCTTGCTCCACTCGGCCTGGCGGTCGCTTTTTCCTCCCCTTTTCTCCACAGCATCAGGGTCCTTCCTGGACTTGATGTATCGAGATGTTGATTCGGAGTCGGCTTCAGAATCCAGACTTAGCCCATATTTTTCCGCCAACTGCCTTCTCCTCTCCGCCTTGTACCTGGCGATCCTTTCGGCTTTGGACTCCAGACTCTGTGTGTCCATGATCCCTGAACTGTAAGATGAGTCACCATGGACGCCTGAGGTTTCTGTGTAGAGTTTAGATCGAGTCGGCTTCTCTACCGAAGAATCAGAAGTTTCTTCCTCTTCATTTGATCGGCCTACAAGAAGAGCACACAGATAATACACACAGATGTCAAGACACACATTTACTCCACTCTGTTCTGTACACAATACACACGTGAGCGCCCACGCTGTGAAGGACCGATTTCTCACACAGGAGTAGTTAGCTAAGATGATTTACCTGGGATGCTGACGAACTCGGAGATCTGCCCTGAAACACGGGAAGGCTGTGAATGTTCCACCAGCTCCACAAACCACCTAAAGCATGGCCGCCACTAAAGCCCAGCTCCTCCCTCCTGAGAGCTCTTCAGTCCTTGCTTAGTGCTTATTTCCCTTGGTTATGTACTTTTTTGTTTTTGAGTTTAATATTTCATGTGTGAGGCCAGAGGACGAGTTCAGAGTCCTCTAGAAAAGATAACAGATATTTGAACTGCTGTAATTTGACAAGTGACGGACTGTGGTTCCACAGGATCTGATAGTAACCATAACGATAATGGCTCATATCAATATTCACCAGGTTGATGTTGAGTTAGGTTTTTTTTTTAACAGAAGTGGCTTTTTCCAATTATAGTACACATGTTTGATGTAGCAAATGTCTACCATGAAAACATAGGAAGGTAAAACCCCAAATCACCAATAACCACTAATCTATAATAATCAATAATAAGTTGATAATTTGTCAAACATTTCTATATATTCCTTCTAGTCTTTTACATATTTGATTTCTTCTTTATTTCTATATAAAATAATTCATGTTTTATATAACCTTAATGTTCTATATAAAACATTTTCCTATATTTGAAAATCTCATTTTGAAGACATCATTTTTTAAGGCTTTATAATATTCTATCCAATAGGCATTCTATAATTAATTTAACCCTTCTCATATTACTGGGCATTTAAGTTGTTTCTAACCTTTAATCAGTCTGATTTTCTGATTATCACAATAGATAGACTGGTAAAAGTCAAATTGCTTTATCAAAGGGTACATCATTTTAAGACACTTGATAGACTGTCAAATTAATTTCTATAAAGTCTAGATTGATTTACACTTGCAATTTGCAATATATGCTCTCTTACAAACCTTGAGTGTTAATTTTAAAAATTTCCTTTGCATACTATAAAAACAGAATATATGCATTTTCCAATTATTTATTAGTCATTTGTATTATCTTTTTCTTCTCTAGAATACCTGGTCGGGCTTAATGATCTATACTCTATTGATTCAAGTGTGATTTTTATCGGTTTGTGTAAACTTTTATAGGAATATGAGCCTTCATCTTATTCATGTTTTCAAATTTGTTTGTTTAATTTTTTGTGAAGTCTATGTATAAGATTGTCTTTGGAGTATAGATGTTAATTGTTATGTAGTGAAGTCAACTGACCTGGCCATGTGTGATTTCTACAGCTGTTTCTGTGTTTTGAAAGTCCTTTTCCATTCAACTTGGATTAGATATTCATCTACATTTTCATGCTTTTAATTATTTTCTTAAAATTAATCATGTGATTCATTGGAATGTATTTTAGTGCTTAGTGTGAAGTGAGAAGAGGACCATATCCCCTCCCCCACCCCACTATACCCCATTTTCCCAATACCATTTTATTGAGTAATTCTTCCTTTTGTCACTAACATGTGATGCTTATATTATCATATAATACATAGATTAACATTTTATAGACACTAGGTTTTATTTCTGGCTATACATTTGGGTTCTCTGTCTATTCTTGATTCTTTATGTACATAATTTTTAAAAATCTTAGTTCTCTAGTTTTCTGGTCATAGAAGATCAGAAACTGTAAAGACAAGCAAACTGATCACATCATGAAGTGAGAGCAACAGCCCTCTCTGAGGAAGAAACTAGAAAACACTGGCTATAAAAAGCAACAGCACGGAGCCACAGGGGGTGAAAAGAACAGCTCTGTATGCATCATCCTCTCTCAAGGTCAAGTTGAATATCTGATGCCCCTAATAAGACTGAGTAATCAAGGCAAAGCTAGGTCATGTTTGACATGCTCTTTGATATGAAATAAATATGCAATACATTTAAAATTGCATAAATAGAATGTTTGTTGCATAAACACGTAGAGTAAGAACCCTAATCACTCGAGGTCCAGCTATACATTTAACGCTCCCTGCTGAGAGCAGCCGTGCCCTGTGCTGGGCACCTGGGCATTCTGTTTAAACGTGTCTCATTCAGTCCTTTACCAAACAAACTTTTACTGAGGTTCTCCCACAGCAAATCCGATGCTGGGGCCCTGAGGGTGGGAAGAGAAAGACACACACAGTTCCTGCCCTTGAGGGGTCCCAGGCTAGAGGAAGAAATGACTGGTCATCAATTACCCAACAGTGTGCCAACGGCTGTTGGTATTTTTTACTGCTGTGACACCTGAGGACCACGCCTGTGAGGCAGGGCGGAGCTGACATATGTGTTGTTGCTGTTTTTAACAAACACACATATTTAGTAAATAATTGCATCTACACAATTCACTTCTGTGGAATATCCCATTTTCCAACACTAATAAAAAAGGCTATGTGGAACATCTCGGGCAGCCTGCTTGCTGATGGGCCAGGAGGCGTGCACACTCACCGATGTGGGGGCTGGCGGGGTCTGTGGCTCGCATGTACCGGGGCGTGTCTTCCTCCAGCAGGCGATGAGTCACGAGCCCTGTGCAGCTCTGCAAGAGGATGGGCTGGGTGTCGGTTTCAATCCCTTCTAAGCGCCTGGCAATTCTCTCTTTTCTGTGCAAGACACCAAAAAGGGCATAATGAGCAACGAAAATCAATTCCAAGGGAAAACTGAATACTGGATTGCCAAGCTCATCTACTTCCTAATTATGTACAATAAATATCTTACCTTTTCATTTCTAAAAATTCTTTCCTCTTTGGTTCAAAGATTTTTCTTAATTCTGCAACTAAAATAAAACCAAAAAGAATAAAAAGATAGTCTAGGATTTAGTAGTCATGCATTCATTTTATTCATTCATGCAACATACATTTATTGAACTCATATTTCTGTTCTTGGCTCCCATGCAAATGTGAGATACAAAACTGACACAGTTCCTGTTTTCATGGAGATTGTCTTCTAGGGGGAGAGGCAGAGGCCAAATGAGAAGCGTGTACACACACACACACACACACACACACACACACACACATCACAGGTTGGGCTAAGAACTAAAACCATGAGAGTAAGAGATGTAGTAATAGCAGCGAGTTCTGTTTCATCCAGGGAGTCAGAGGAGGCCTGAACAGAAAGATCTTTCTAGCAAGCGGAAATCTCAATATCTGTTTTTAACTGTTATTAGGTTTAAAAAAGTATTTTAAGCTCTTCATCATGGGAAACATCACACATTTGAAGAAGTAGAGACTAGTACTACGAACCCCTCCGCGCTCATCAGTAAGCTACAGCAAGCATGACTCACAACACTCCTGTTTCATAACCTGTAAATACCTATAACTACCTGATGGTTTCCAGCGGTACCTAAAGCAGCATCCCCAGTTCACTACAGTTTAGACTAACACAGTTCCCAAGCCTCCCCTTACAAGCCTTCACTAGAGGAAAATGTTAATTATTGTTTCTTTGCTACAATTTAGGTGAATGATGGATAAAGTAATTACCCCAATTCTGGCAACACTGGATGAGCAGACAAATGTTGTGCTGAGGTTGGGAGGGTCTCATGTGTACTGACTACAAAGATATTCCTAAGATGCCAAATAGTGGTTTCTTTGGAGAAATGGCTCAATTTGGTGGAGAATAAAGGTCTCTCTTCCGGCCTCCCCCTCAATCATGTGACTTCACAAGGGCTCATCTGAGTGTTTCCTATTGAGGACCCAGGAATGGGCGGGAGAGGAGTCTCGGATAGCCCCAGGGCCCAGGAAAATTTTGAAAGGCTGAGTCAAAGAAGAAACTCAAAGGAGGGGGTATGAATACATGGAATTTAATTTCCAGTGCTTCCATTTGCATTCTATTTTTTCGAAGTAGTCATTTTTAGTAATGAGTCAAAATCACACACATATACACATGACTTTTATATTGTCCTTTGTGTTCAAAGACACAAATCGTGTATTTGTTATTTATTTATATAGTTTTTTAAATGATAGCCACTTTAATATTTTAGTTGGCTTGACTTTTTTAAAGATAGTTGGCTTCATAAAAAAGTCTCTCTCTCAGTTAGCCTTCCCAGGAACCAGAGGAGCTGGAGGCAGAGGTGTGCTTGCTCTGCAATGTGAATTATGTTCCTATTTGGAAGAAAAGGGTATAACGATAATGGCGCATCCTGTGTGCTACCTTTTGAGGAAGCTCAGCCAATAATAGCTTCCCATTTAGCAAATTAGCTCTAGTGAGATTATGGTGATAAAAATGTAATGGCTGGTAGTACATATTTTGAAAACATTTTGAAGGATGGTATAAACCAAAGAGTTTCAATTAATTATTTAAACCCCAAAGAAGAGAATAGGGCCCTATTTTTCATAAGACTGCTCAAGAAGCTATTGAAATCAAATTCCAAGTGCTCTGAAATGTAGGTCTTAAACGCATGCTTCAAACCCCTACCTGAGAAATAGACTATATTATTAGGGTACTTAGTGGCATAATGAGCCTTTTCTCCTCCAAAATTATTCCAAGTAGGTATGCTGAGGTCTGAATGTTTATGTCCCCCCAAAATTCCTAAGTTGCAATCCTAACCCCTAATGTGATGTATCAGGAGGTGGGACGTTTGAGAGGTATTTCGGCTCCACTCTCATGGCTGGGATTAGTGTCCTTACGAAAGAGGCCCCACAGAGCTCTCTGGGCCCTTCCTCCACGTGATGATATGATGGGAAGACGGCAGCGTGCAACTGCAAGAGCTTCCTCACCAGGACCTCACCATGCTGGCACTCTAATCTCAGACTTCCAGCCTCCAGAGCTGTGAGCAATACATTTCTGTTGTTTATAAGCCACTCAATCTACGGTACTTTGTTACAGCAGTTCAAACAGATGAAGACAGAGTATATGTCAAAATATTAACGTAACACACACAGAGTGGCATATAACTTCCATTGGGAAAAGTTAAGATATACTTTTTTTGTCCTAATTTGAGACTGAAAATCTCCTTGCATTTCATTAAATTTTTAATTTTTAAAATTTTCTATAAAAATTATGTAACTAAAGATATTGAAAAAAGTTCTAGCAGTACAGTGAAAAAGCTAAGCAACAAGTTGCTTCCTGACATTCTTTTTTCCCATATTCTAGAAGGAAAGATCAACTAATTGGGAGACTATGCAAATGTCCCACCCACAACACAACTGTCCTTTCCTACTGCCATTACCGCTCTGCTTAAATATTCCATGAGGACTAAGATAATACAAGAATGGGGCAGGCTGATGGTCAGAATAGTTGTTCATCACAGAAACTGAACCCCCAGAAGCCTGGGACAGGGAGAAGAAAGAGAAGGACAGGGCAGGCAATCCAAGTTATCCCACTGTCCATGGTGATCTCTGTCCCTTTCTGGACAGAATAGGGTGGGCAGCCACCAGTGAACACTGTCATCTGATCGCCATGCACTGCTGGATATAAGAAGTCTCAAGATAGCATTGAGCAGGCACCCAGGTGCCCCTCTTCAGTGTCACCGACACAGAATGCTGGCTCTGGAAGAGATCACAGATCACCATGAGGGCACTAACGGCCTTCTGAGTGGGAAATGTCTTTGTGGTGAGCCCGCACTGCAGGATGTTGAGTATCCTGGATTCTCCTACTCAATGCCAAATCATCCCCAGTTGCTATGACACAAAGATGCTCCCATATGATTCCAAAGTACCCCCCTAGGGATGGTACTGTCCTGGCCTGAGAACCATTGAACTCAGTACAAAGATTTCAAATAAGGCAGCCTGTCCCCTAGACACCCATGTTCTAGGTTACACCAAAGACAGACACCACTAGCCCATCGCTGCAGTCTTCAGTCAAGCTCAGATTCAAACGCAAAACTATTCCAAGCCTATAATCTTATAGTCCTTTCTGATCATTTACTGAGGAATGAAATGAGGTCATGTATCAAACTAAATGTATCGGTGAGCTTATTAATTCGTAGTGGAAATCTATAATGAAACTTTTAGGAAAATAAAAACTCCCTCCAGGAAATAAATTACCACTCGGTCTATTCTTTCTAATAAATATATTTTTAATTACCAAGATTTGCTTCATTCCTATAGACATGAGATTATAGGGGGAAAGAAATGATGTGGAAGACAAAAAGAAGTATCAAAGACACATCTTGAGTCTGGCTTCCTTTCCCCAAATTGATAGTTTAAAAGTAAAGTTAGTAAAACAAACATGTAATATAATTACTCTAGTATATCTATCCCATGGGAAAACACTTCCATTCTATGAAAGAGAATGATGTTTTATTTGAATTGCTGATGTGTGTGTAATTTTTTTGTTTCTTTCCAGGAAAAAACTTCATATGGGTACTTGTAATCCTAATCAGGCCCTCCAACTGAATTTTTGTCAGATTTATTATAAAGCACTGAAAAAAACCTAATCCTGAGAAATCTCGGAAGTCACCCCAGCTGCGGAATCTATGTTGTCACTCCATCGTTTCATTTATCGAGACTACAAACAGCTCCACCAGAGGTATCTTCTCACTGATGGTCTTGAATATAGTTTATTATTCTTTATGATCTACCAAGAAAAACTTTCTTTTCTTTAAAATTTTTATATAAATTCAGACTTATAGAAAAATTAAAAGACATCTTTCATAATATGTTAACATTTTACTCCATTTGGTTTATTTATTTATTTTATTTTTTGGTGAGGAAGATTGGCACTGAGCTAACATCTGTTGCCAATCTCCCTCCTTTCGCTTGAGGAAGATTGTTGCTGAGCTAACATCTGTGCCCGTCTTCCTCTATTTTATACATGGGACGCCACCACAGCATGGCTTGATAAGCAGTGTGTAGGTCCGCGCCCAGGATCCAAACCTGCAAACCCCGGGCTGCCAAAGCAGAGCTCGCAAATTTCACTACGCCACCCCAGGCTGGCCCCCATTTGATTAATGTTTACCTTTTTTCTCTCTATGTATGCATATTTATGTGTGTATACACATGCACACACATTTACATATAAACTTTTCTGAACCATCTAAGAGTAAGCTGCAGCAGGATGCCTCTTCATGGCTAAATTCTTCAGTGTATATTTCCTAAGAATAAGGAATAAGGATGTTCTTTAAAATTAGATTGGACAGCCATAATTCAATTGATTGTATGCCGTGTCATATGTGTATAATTCATAACTGGTCCAGATAATAGTAATACTAGTGATCCTACAATCCAGATATAAACAAGCACAGCTGATCTAACTTCTGTGGTAATATTTTCTACTTTGCTTTCAAGTACATGAAGACTTTTACACATACTAAATTATCCCTTATTATATACCTGCTATTTCAGTCTGCTGCCCATGTCTGAGCAATATGGATTCTATGAGTGTATTTCTTTAGTTATTTCTGATAGGAAATGGTTGGTTATTTTCCAAGCAAGGCAATTTAAGGAGATTTGACATCAGGGCTATAATACTTTATAAAGTTATTTAACTGCCTAATATACTTTGTAATAACATATAATACCAATACTCAGGGTAATTTGGGCTGCTAGGCACTTTTCTTGGGAAGCGTTTCTTCAAATAGCTCTGAAAAATAGGCTTTCTGGTAAAGTTATTGTTGAGTTCAGTCCTCCAAACCCGAGTACAGTAGAATCTTCCAAAGAAAGGTAAGTGGCAGGGGGGCTGCCAAGAAGACTTCTCTCCTCTCCTGCATGTGACAACCTAAGGGCAGCGGCCAGATCCAGAATATTCTGAATACTGATCTTAATTCCCACAGGAGTAATGCATTTAAACTTTTACACTTGGATGGCAGCCACTAATATAAAGACAAGCAGCTTATAAAATGACTAATTATAAAACTAGAGCAATAAGGAGGAGGGGTGATGGCTAAGAAGTGTGGGGTTTCTTTTCAGGATAATGGAAATGTTCTAAAATTGACTGTGGTGATGGATACACAACTCTGTGACTATACTAAAAGCCACTAAATTGTATACTTTAAATGGATGAATTGTATGGTATATGACTTATAGCTCAGTAAAGCTGTTTAAAAAAGTAGAGTAATATATTTAGTCCATTTCCTAATTCCTAAATGGAAAATCTATTTTAATATGATAATCTTTACATAGGTAAAGGTTTTTAATCCTTTGATTACCTGTTTGTGATACACTGTTAAAGGAAGTCCTTTAGAGAAACATCAATGATCATTTTAAAGCTGAATTTCACAGAAGTAAGAATCCCACACTAAATGAACTGACAGAAACTTCTGTAAACTTATAAACAAACATAAAACTCTATGCCATTAGAACAGTCATAATCAATGCCTATTTTTAACATTATATAGCAAAGAGCTGATAAAATCATTAACACATCTGTTAAGATGGAGAAATGAAAAGCTTGCCAGTAACACACAGGTCTTTCCAAACACGCCTGCCCAAATTCAGAAAGAGCAAAGATTATGAAATTAGACTATGGGGAATTTAGATGAAATTCAGGGAAGGGGGGCTCTGATACTTTTTCAGCATGTTTTAAAGATCTTGTTAATTTAGAAACATAAATCTGGTTAATACATAAATTTACCATCTTCGATTTGTGAAAATTATGTTTTAACCAGTAACACTGGTTAATAAGCTTATGTGTTTTTAAGTTTTGTTATATACAGAGTTACAAGTTGTTGAACATTAAGGAACCCAGCATCTCTTAATTTTTCTGATCCTAATATTGTCTATGGTATGATTTATCAAAAAAAGGAATTGGGGTAGAGACTGGAAGAGGGAAGCAACTTTTGCTATATAGAACTTTGCCCAACCAGTCAGATCTGCTAAGCTATTGCTAAAAATCAATTTGTTCATTCTTATACTTTGTTTTGATCATCTTCAAAGATTTTTTAAGTTTGGCTCAGATTTAATTGAGTTTCTTTGGCTTTCACAAAGAGTCTTCAAAATTGGAAGGACCCTTCCATTTCACACCTGGTCCACACACCCATCCAGGTGGGAACCCTCCACAGCATCTGCCCTACCCTTGAAGACATGGCCGTATGACCTTTCTTGAATACTAATGAGGAGAGCTGATGAGACTGCAATGCAGTCCATTTCACTCCTAGGTTCTAGAAACTCTCAGAATTTTCTTTCATATATTAAATCTCACCCACCTCCTTGTAATTCTACACATTCTTCTTATTTTTGGCCTCTAAGGCAACATAGAATAAGCCTACATTCCAGGTGACAGTTTTCTAAGTACTTGAAAATTGCAAAATGTCCCTATTTAAGTTTTCTCCACCAGGCCGAATCCCTGGGGTCCTTGAAATATCCATCCTTTTCAGACCCTGTCTAGGCATATCACCCATTCAACTCCTGGGGATGTATGCCAATTTGTCAGTGGGCCTTTTAAACTGGGTTTAGTTTCTATTAAAAGAATACTTTTTCTGGTCTAATTTCTTTTGGGCTTGATCTCATGGTTTTTTTTCTCTATCAGAGTAGGAAAAATAATCTGACCTTCCACCAAACCTGTTTCTTCTGAAGTGAGGGCGACACAGCTCATTCGAGATGACAACAGTTTGTGAGCTGGTACCACCCTGTGCTAGTGTTCCACTTGGTGGAAACAAGATCAGGCAATGTTCACATTATTTCACAGGCAAAACTAGGTGTGGTCGGCTGATAGATGCAAATATTTTACTGCACGAGCATCTTTACCAATGAAAATACTAATTCACCGACCATGTGAGTGCCTACTGGGGGAAGAAGAGAGATGATGAAGATACAATCTCCACTGGTAGCCCAAACTGTAGCCCAGTAGGGAGCTACAAGATAGTAAGTGTAAATGCTATAAATACTGGCGAGCATCAAGAGGCTGGAGGGTCGGGAAGGGGTGGGCGGAGAAGAAATGGGTGCATGAGCGGAACTCGCTGACCTTAGAGAAGATGAAGGTAGGGAAGTGATGAGGAAGTGATTCGGGGAACCTTCTCTCACCCTCCCCACCAGCCTCCAGTGAAAATGAGGGTGCTCAAAACGAGAGGGAAAGAACATGAAGAAAGGTGGGGATTACAAATACAAGGAGAGAGGGGCTTCAGTGGAGGTTAATTCTGGGATGAGGCGACAAAGGAGACTAGAAGCTGGAGGTTAGTGCGAGAGTCTCCTCAAAGAAAATCAGATAACACAAAACGTATGCCTCTGGACACTGCTCACCATTTAGAAGGAGTCTTACCTTTAGGAAGTGCAGTTAAAAGCTTAGCATCAATTTCTTTTTTGTGGTTAGCAAGTTGTTCTTTATCTTCAAGCAAGAATTCTTTCTGAAAGCTAAAAATTATTCCGTTAATAAAATGTTTAAGGTCAATTTAAACCAAGATATATAATGTTAAGTGCAAAAAAGCAGAAAATAAAAACTACGCTACTGCTATACATGGTTAAATATGTACATGTAGATTACAAGTAAAAAGTTTTATTTGGGGGAGTTAATTGGTAGCTTTTTGCATTTACTTACAGTTATGTTAACAATTTTTTTGTGCAACTAAATAATTACATCAGCATAGGCAGGGGGTGTGGCGTACGGCGGTCAAAACATCACTGAGCAAACTCGAATTAATCACTCAACCTTTCTGTGCTACAAGTTCTTCCTCAGAATCAGCAATTTGTCTAAATGATCTACATGCTTTCCCCCAGTGCTGAAATTAGGTTAAAGGAACAAATGCCTTCAAACAACCAAGAAATCAAAGCATGGTGAATAGGTCTACAAGGCACATGAAAACTGTCTTGAGAAAAAAAGGAGAAACAAAAGGGCAGAAGAATAAAGGAACTGAGCCCTCACTAGTATGTTTCTTCTATACTAAGCATATCCCAGGAATTACCTGAACTATCTTCACAAGACCCTAGGAGGTGTGAACTTCTCAGTGCTGTGCTGGTAAATGTTTAACACCTGGCTCCTTCCTCTTGACTGCCCCCTGCCCCCACAAGCACCTGCTTTGCAGTATTGGCTGATCGTGTAAATACTCCCACCATGGCCGATTTCAAGCTACCCACAGGACTCACTGAACTCAAAGTTGGAAGAGAGATGCATGCTTGCTCTCACAAGTCGGCGCCAGCACACCACTGGAACTATTACCATCCTCGGTGTACAGATTAGGAAACTGTTAAATGATTTGCCCAAGGACACATATTTGGCAAGAAGAGTACATGAAATTCAAATCTAGCTCCTTCTCCAACACTATGCACAGTTGCCCCAAGACTGCTGTACACACAATTCCGTGATCTTCCATGGGAACGTGCCTGGAGTTGGGCAAAACACACAGAGCTGCTGCGTCGCAGGAAGAAAACAAACCTAGGGAAACAGGAAACTAGTATTCCCTGATGATATGATCACCTCCAGAGAGGTGAACACCCAGCCTGAACACATTCAGTGCAAAGCTGACCTTCTCCACGTACTGCAGGAGGACATCTCCATAGAGGCCCAAGATGAGACTGAGGAAGGTGCTCTGCACACTATGTAAGTGGGACACATGAGTAATTTATATGCCACATATACAGGCATACCTCATCTTATTGTGCTTTGCTTCACTGTGCTTCACAGACACTGTGTTTTTTACAAATTGAAGGTTTGTGGCAAACCTTCATTGAGCAGGTCTACTGGCACCATTTTTCCAATAGCATTTGCTCACTTCATGTCTGTGTCACATTTTGGTAATTCTTGCAATATTTCAAACTTTTTCGTTATCATTATATTTGTTATGGTGATCTGTGATCAGTAATCTCTGATGTTACCACTGTATAATTATTTTGGGGTGCCACGAACCACGCCCATATAAGATAGTGAACTTGGGGCCAGCCCCCTGGCTTAGCGGTTAAGTGCGCGCGCTCCGCTACTGGTGGCCCGGGTTCGGATCCCAGGCGCGCACCGACGCACCGCTTCTCCGGCCATGCTGAGGCTGCGTCCCACATACAGCAACTAGAAGGATGTACAACTACGACATACAACTATCTACTGGGGCTTTGGGGGAAAAAAAGGAGGAGGATTGGGAACGCATGTTAGCTCAGAGCCGGTCTTCCTCAGCAAAAAAAGAGGAGGATTAGCATGGATGTTAGCTCAGGGCTGATCTTCCTCACAAAAAAAATAAATAAATAAGATAGTGAACTTAATTGATAAATGTTGTGTGTTCTGACAGCTCCACCAACCGGCTGTTCCTCCATCTCTCTCCCTCTCCTCTGGCCTCCCTACTCCCTCAGACACAACAATATTAAAATTATGCCAATTAATAATCTTACAATGGGTTCTAAGTGTTCAAGTGAAAGGAAGAGTCGCATATCTCTCACTTTAAATCAAAAGTTAGAAATGATTAAGCTTAGTAAGGAAGGCATGTAGAAAGCCAAGAGAGGCCGAAAGCTAGGCCTCTTGCATCAAACAGTTAGGCAAGTTGCGAATGCAAAGGAAAAGTTCTTGAAGGAAATTAAAAGTGCTGCTCCAGTGAAGACATGAAGGATGAAACAGCCGTACTGCTGATGTGGAGAAAGGTTTAGTGGTCTGGATAGAAGATCAAACCAACCACAACATTCCCTTAAGCCAAAGCCTAATCCAGAGCAAGGCCCTAACTCTCTTCAATTCTATAAAGGCTGAGAGAGTTGAGGAAGCTGCAGAAGAAAAGTCTGAAGCTAGCAGAGGTTATTTCACGAGGTTAAAGGAAAGAAGCCGTCTCCAAAACATAAAAGTGCAACGTGAAGCAGCGAGTGCTGATATAAAAGCTGCAGCAAGTTATCCAGAAGATCTAGCTAAAATAATTAAAGAAGGTGGCTACACTAAACAACAGATTTTCAATGTAGATGAAACAGCCTTCTATTGGAATAAGACCTAGGACTTTTATAGCTAGAGAGGAGAAGTCAGTGCCTGGCTTCAAAGCTTCAAAAGACAGGCTGACTCTTGTTAGGGGCTAATGCAGCTGGTGACTTGAAGTTGAAGCCAGTGCTCATTTTCAATTCTGAAAATCCTAGTGCCCTTAAGATTTATGCTAAATCTACTCTGCCTGTGCTCTGTAAATGCAACAACAAAGCCTGGATGACAGCACATCTGTTTACAACATGGTTTACTGATTATTTAAACCCACTGTTGAGACCTACTGCTCAGAAAAAAAGATTCCTTTCCAAATATCACTGCTCATTGTCAATGCACCTGATCACCTAAGAGCTCTGATGGAAATGTACAATGAGACTCATGTTGTTTTCATGTCTGCTAACACAACATCCATTCTGCAGCCCACGGATCAAGGAGTAATTTTGACTTTCAAGTCTCATTATTTAAAAAATACTTCTCGTAAGGATATAGCTGCCATAGATAGTGATTCCTCTGATGGATCTGGGCAAAGGAAATTGAAAACCTCCTGGAAAGGATTCACCATTCCAGATGACATTAAGAGCATTTGTGATTCACGGGAAGAGGTCAAAATATCAACCTTAACAGAAGTTTGGAAGAAGTTGAATCCAACTCTCACGGAAGACTTCGAGGGGATCAAGACTTCAGTGGAGGAAGTCACTGCAGATGTGGTGGAAACAGCAAGAGAACTAGAATAAGAAGTGGAGCCTGAGGATGTGACTGAATTGCTGCAATCTGTGGTAAAACTTTTAATGCATGAGGAGTTGCTTCTTATGGATGAGCAAAGAAAGTGGTTTCTTGAGATAGAATTTATTCTGGGTGAAGATGCTGCAAAGATTGTTGAAATGACAACAAAGGATTCAGAATATTACATAAGCTTAGTTGATAAAGCAGTGGCAGGGTTTAAGAGGATTGGCTCCAATTTTTTTTTTTTTTTTAAATTTTTATTTATTTATTTTTTCCCCCAAAGCCCCAGTAGATAGTTGTATGTCATAGCTGCACATCCTTCTAGTTGCTGTATGTGGGACGCGGCCTCAGCATGGCCGGAGAAGCGGTGCCTCGGTGTGCGCCCGGGATCCGAACCCAGGCCGCCAGTAGCGGAGCGCACGCACTTAACCGCTAAGCCACGGGGCCGGCCCAGGCTCCAATTTTGAAAGAAGTTCTACTGTGGGTAAAATGCTATCCAACAGCATCGCGTGCTACAGAGAAATCATTCGTCAAAGGAAGACTCAATCAATGCAGCAAACTTCATTGTTGTCTTATTTTAAGAAATTGCCACAGCCACCCCAGCCTTCAGCAATCACCACCCGGATCAGTCAGCAGCCATCAACATCGAGACAAGACTCTCCACCAGCAAAAAGATTATGACTTTCTAAAGGCTCAGATGATGATTAGCATTTTTTAGCAATCAAGTATTTTTTAACTAAGCTATGTACATTGTTTTTTAGACATAATTTGATTGCACACTTACTAGACTACAGTATAGTGTAAACATAACTTTTATATGCACTGGGAAATCAATGTTCACTGTACTGCAGTGGTCTGGAACCAAAGCCGCAATATTTCCGAGGTATGCCTGTAAATTAAATTTCAAGGAACTTCTACACATTCCAAAATATGGTACCCCATCCCATCTTCCCAGAACCAGGCTCATCTGAAATCTTACTTATTGCTTATAAATGCGGTATGGCTTATATTCATAAATATGAGTGCCATGTATTCACATTATTTAATAAAAAGACTCGAGAATAAGTAGTCTCTATAAACCACACTCCAGATGACTTAAAGATCCTAGGACACCTGCTTTGCTCAGAAACTTAGAATTAGCACTGACTTCTACACAGTGAATTGTTAACGCAGTGACAGTTCTTTTCAGTGTTTTATTCAGATGTATGATTTAGTATAAACCTAAAAAATTAAATAACCACAGAAACACACCCTACTTAAGGAACGGCATGCGATTTTAACTGATTATTTAACTGCTTGTTTACACATCTTGATGAAGTTCTTTACTTTCTTGGGAAAACCAAAATCTCAGGAAGAAGTTCTCCATTGAAGTGAATGACGCAATCCCTCACATACGCAGCTTCTCAGGCCGCTGACCTCAGGGCACAAATACTCTCTCATACGCTCAGAAATGAACACCTGCATGTTTCTGTGTTCCCCCTGTTCTCTGCTTATCAAAAAGCTCACTGAAGCCACTAATGAAGACTAAGAAACTACCTCCTAAACATTTTGCTGAACTCTTACAGAGTGGGGTTGACAAGTCATCCCCGACACCCTCTGGCTCCATACGTACTTACTTTCTTTCTTTTTTTTTTTTGAGGACGATTAGCCCTCAGCTAACATCTGTTGCCAATCCTCCTCTTTTTGCTGAGGGATATTGGCCCTGGGCTAACATCCGTGCCCATCTTCCTCTACTTTACATGGGACGTCACCACAGCATGGTCTGACAAGCAGTGCGTCGGTGCGCGCCCGGGATCCGAACCCGCGAACCCGGGGCCGCCAAAGCGGAGAACTTGAACTTAACCACTACACCAAAGGGCCGGCCCCTGCACTTACTTTCTTGAAACAAGGGACACATAGTGTCAGCGCTAATAAAAAGTACAGCCTTTTCATAATCAGTCAGAAACCAACGGAAAACCCACCTGCTCTTAGGAACATCTCTCATGCCTCTTAACGTGGTTTACTGTACATGCTGTTCCCACCACGTGAATTCTCTCTTCTCCAGCCTCCTTCCATCCTAGCTGAGTCCTGCTCCTGGTCTGAGCCTCATTTAAGGTCATTTCCTCAAGGAAGTACCCCTGACCCAGTGCCCGTCCCCCCTGGCACCGAATCTATCTCACGCACCTCTGTTATTTTCTCTCATGGCATCCTGTTTTCCTACTTGTAGAACACAGTATAAGTGTCTTAGATTTTTTTAAATTATTGATTTTTAAAAATCAATAAATATATGTTGAATGAATGAATGACCACAATAAAATACTTCTAACGTGAGCTACAACTCACTCTGATGTATTTTACGCGTACACTTCATACGCTGATGATGTGATGGGGCAAACAGCATTACAAACACTGAGAATAATCAGAAAGGCATGTATTTAAAAATATCAGTTATAAGCTTCCTTCCTCCCTCCCTCCCTTCTTTTCTGTCCTTCTTTAGAATAATATGTAATGGGGAAAATATCTCTCCTCGTTACGTTTGCTCACCTTGCATACACGTATGAAAATACTACTATATTTGCATCTGTTCATGAAGTATTCTATTTTCAAAGTCTCCATCTTCAAGGTCAGCTTTTGTTATTGGAACCCACACGGCTGTCTTTACATTTTGTTCTTGCTTCTATTGCCTCTCTCTCCTGCTCCCGCTAAATGACCATCCTTCTGAGGAAGCTATAGAACAAGGAGACTGGGGTGGACAGTGTCACAGAAGCTGTGACTGATGCAAGACCCCTCAAATCAATACAAAACCAGGTTTCGAAAAAAGTCTCCTCTCTTCCCTGGACTTGCTACCCCCACGGGAAATAGCCAGCAGTGAAAATGCAGGCAAGACCCCCTAGTAAAGAATTCTGCACCATTCGTGAATGAGTGACTCCTTCTGATCATCTATGGCTGATGAGACACTTACCAATACCCAAAAGAGCTCTAACACGGCCCTCCTCTCACTTTTCCAAGTCAGAGGCGCCAGAGCAGCATTACTGGGAGGGCCCATTCCTAACTGAGACCATTGGTAAGGCCAGAGCACCGAGCTCCAGGTGCTGGATGGTGCTCTTCCTCATCGCTCACCGTCTCTGGGATGAGGGGTTCCTGCCCAGACAACCTCTGCAGGTCCTGGTGGGTCTGCCACAGCTCAAGCAAAGGTATGATCCAATATTTCAATATGAAACCACCCCCCATATATAACTAAAGTAAATGCTACAGTCTTAATTTTTTTAATTATAATTTTAAAAGCTTCTAATATTAAGAAGCACCTTTTGTATTTTTTACCCAGCTATCTTCATTGCCTCTGAAATAGTGCTCACTCTTTACGACTAATTTTTTCATACTTCTCCCCTCTTCCCTCTGTTTCAATAATCTAAGAAGCAACTGCTCCCTGCTTCCATGATAATTTTTTTAATGTGTCCCATTAACCTACTTAAATGCTCTGAAGTAGGAACAAGGGGAAATTTTATTAAGGTGAGAGCAGGATATTCTGCAGTTGTTGCCTTCTATCTTTTATAAAATGTAGGATATACTGTTGCACTGACCGTGCACCCACGCTGTGAAAGGCTCCCCTGCAATCTGTTCACTCTTCCACTGAAGTTTAAATTACAAGATATGGGAGGCGAAAATCCATTACCTCATATTTTCACCTCTGTTGTCTGGCTGACTAGATTTCTTTGAAGGAGGCAGGTTCTCATATCTTTTTACATTTTATACTTAGTACTGCGGGAAAGGAGCCATCATTTAAATAAGTACACATGAAATAATACCCACAATTTTAGAAGAGCTGTGTCCCTCTCAGTCCCTCTCCACTGAAGTGTCTGACCTTCACATATCACGCTTTTCTTATCTTCAAATAAGCAATGTCTGTCTCCCTTTCCTTTTCTTCCTTTTTCTTAGTCACTAATTAGCTCTATTACAGCTAAACCAATGTGCTAGGGACATACTGGGAACTAAGCTGCTATGGTCTGAATGCTTGTGTCCCCCCAAATTCATATGTTGAAATCCTAACCCTCAAAGGTGATGATATTAGGAGCTGGGGACTCTGGGAGGTGATTAGGTCATGAGAGTGGAGCCCTCATGAATGAGATTAATGCCCTTATAAAAGGACCCCAGAGAGCTCCCCAGCCCCTTCTGCCAATCGAGGACATAAGAAGTCAGTGGTCTGCAACCTGGGAGAGGGTCCCACCCGAACATGCTGCACCCTGATCTCAGATTTCCAGCCTCCAAAACTGTGAGAAATAAATTTCTACTGTTTAGAAGCCACCCAGTGTATGGTATTTTGTTATAGTAGCCTGAACAAACTATGACATAAGCCTTAGATTCTATTAAAAATACGGCAAAGATGAGAAATACAGGAGATTGTGTCAAGCACTAGAAAAGTAAGATTTCATGAGTCAAATAAGACAACCTTACTGATGATCCTGGCTCATTACTGCCCTAGTTTACCTGATACTAAGATGTGGATGGAATTCACAATGCTTTATCCCATCTCGTGTGTTCACAAGATCAATTCTGCCATTTTCAAATGCAGAGCCAGGCTTAGCCTGACGAGGACAGTGGTTAGACAACTGTTTATTCCAATGCTACTGAAATGCAAACACTTTTTAGTAAAGAAACAATGTCATACATAATACATTAGGAACAAGAGATCTGAGGGAAATGAGGGGTAGACGGGGGCTGGGCCTTTCTAGCATAGCACAGTGTAGGCTGAGATCTATACTTCCGTGTAAGGAACAATAACTGTGCCTCCACTTGAAAATCTCACAGTCTATTAGGGACAGTGATCTACTAAGCAGCCCCTGAGATATAGATATCTTGTCTGGCACCAACTTTAATTTTTACTTTCTCTTATATCAATGATGATATACCACAGAGTTTTAGCACATTAGGTAAATCAAATTAGTACCCAGAATATCTTGCAGCCAAGGGAACTGAAGTGTAGAAAGGTTGAGAGACCAGGCATCAAGAACTCACATGGACAGATGGGTGGATGGGTGGAGGGACAGAAGGAAGGAAAGAATGAAAGATGGAAGGAAGGATGGAAGGAAGGGCGAGAGGGAGGAGAAACAAGGCTAAATGCTTTCTTAAAAAATCAAAAGCTCCCTTACTTGATGAACAGACTGCAAAAGGATGTCCCATACTTAGAGGCAGGTATGAGAAAGAAAAGATGAGCCCTTTACAAGTATGCAATTACAGAGACACCAAACTCCCCTTCTGCAAATAGTTCCCATCAACCCCAGGAAATACAAAAAGAATCTTTGTTGGTTGAATGTACTGTTAAGTCAGCTTGCTTCATATATTTTAATAAACCAAACCCTAAGGAGAAAACATATTGCCAAACATTTAAACTCATGAATTAGGAATTTAGAAGAACAATTTTAAAAGCCACCACAAATCTTCAAAACTTAAGATTCCTTGAGCAAAGACCACTTTACCTTGGGACTTTTCTTTGACGTGGAAATCCAATGAAGCTTAAGTTTTTCTTGTTGAAATCTAAGGGGAAAGAAATAACGTAACATTGAAATAGCTACAGACAACAAGTCAAAACAAGTTTAAAAAAAATCTAACGGGAAAACAATTCTTCAAAGTCCCTTTGAATGTATAATTTAAGAAAAAGGAAATCATTAACCAGATAAAAAATATGAATACAAAAATGATACCTTCTAAGAATCAAATTCCACAACATACATTTTACAGAGGCAAGTTTTTTTGTTTTTCTCTTGTGAAAAGCAGCCAACTCCGTGGGCAAAAAAAAAAATCCTGACATAGTTCAATGCTATCATTTAAATTCATAATTGCCACAAGAACAACTCAAAGCAACTAAACACTGAATAACATAGTTATATACTTAGAATAAAAAAATTAAATGATTTTGGTCAAGGTAACCAGAAATGCTGAAAGTCATCACTGCCTGATATATTTGAGATGCCTTTAAAGAATGCATGCGATGGGGACAGTTGAGGAAGCGCAGGGGAGCTCTTCAGCTGTGTTTTTATTGCCTTTATTAAAATCTAAACAATAACAACACATCAAATCAACCACTTCTTTATCTATTTTTGAAGGTAAGTTATATATTATGTAAAGACAGCTGGTAAAAATCCCATACAGCACAAACACACATCCTAAGTGAACCGGTTAATCAAAACCAAGCACAGACACATTTATAATCAGTCTAATGGCAAGTAATCTGATTTGCAGCTTTTGGCATAGTAACCATTTGTCCACCAAGAAAACCACAAGTAGACCACTTACAGAAACCTCCTCCCCTAAGGAAGTGCCTTTTACTGTTTAACATGTAGGGGCAGAAGCCTGAGGAAAAGGAGTAACAAAATATACCAGATGCTGACATGTCATTTTCCATCAAAATACATCCTAAATCCTGGAATTTGGAAATTCTGACCAACTAGTGAAATACAATAAAATGAAAGGCATAATGCCAATTAGAATCTATGCTTTTCTTCTAATTATATGAATATCTTGTTATGTATTTAAAAAAGAAAACTCACTTCAAAAAGCTATCAAATTATAGAAGAAATTCCTGAATCTGAGGCCTGAATTGTTCAAATCACTTCCTAACAGTGCATTTGTACTAGAAAATACTTTTATACAGAATGGATGAATTTCAAATGTGATACTCAGAATAACCTCAGCATTTCATTTTTGTTCAATTAGTGAACTGAATCTGTGATATCACTTCAGTAGTTAAATTGAAAGCATACATTTTCCTCTGGGCATGAAAGGAAGCCACTACAAAGACAACATTTTGTTCCAAACTGTCTCACATGAAGATTTAATAGAAAGACAAACCCTCATCGCTGCCTACTGGAAATAATTTAGTACACATAGCATTTGCTTTAGAAAAATATTTTAGTGAAAGTGCAGCACATCCAGAACTTGATCCAAAGTGTGAGCACTCCAATTTAATTTGCAATTTTTCCTACAGAAAGGCTTTAGTGGTTTAGCAATATCTTTAACTTATAACAGAAAAAAAAAATTCATGTTTTTCTGCAATCACAAGACAAGCTAATTTATAAACTCAATTAGATATTTAAAGTGTCCTTTGAGAAAACCGTATAACTAACTGGACACAGGAGAATACAAGGTAAAATGGAGGAGCAAGGCATTCATTATGTTATACAATAAACATATAAGGGCATTTTCTATTTCTCTTGCCTTACCTTGTTTCTCAGAGAACTTGAAAGCTCCCAGATAGCTGGACATCCCTGGGCTTCTGAACATGGTTGCACATATAACGTTCAGTAACAGAGCCTGCTCTACAGCTAATTCTCAACCAGCCACGGCCTTCCACCCGTCTAAGCAAAAGTGGGTTGAGATTTTCACAGTACGGGGCCAGAGCAAATAGGCACTTGTGTCCTTGAGAGTATGTAAACGCAAAGCAAGAGACTGCAGGCTGGAACAGCTCAAACCTCATAATCAGATTACAAGCAGAAACTAGGCCTGTGGATGCTGAAGCAAACTGGATCCCAGTGATGGGACAGTTAGGATGCTTCAAAGCAATGGCTGAATCACAGCTTCTGCTTCAGCCAAGTAGACAATGCTGCAACCTCCCCATCATCGGGGGGGCCAAAAACAACTCCTCCTTTTCCTAAAAATAAACAAACAAACAAAAAGAAAGCCGTACAGACACTCTCGATGTGCTGAGAAGAAGGGAGGCTGCTTAACTATTCCCAGGCTGCTCTGAGTCGGCTTTGGCTAAGTTAAATGAAATATTTTACCTAACAGGGAGCCAAAACCCCAGAGTTGAGAGTTAAGATTTATGAACAACACATGAGTGAAATTGTGGGAAAAGAAAGGCAGATATCACTAGAGGGTCAAAAATTTTAATTTGAGACAGAAACTCTTAAGTATTACCTACTTGACTGCCCCCTGTTTATTATTATTTTTTAAAAAGACTTGATTTTTTTAGAGCAGGTTTAGGTTTACTACAAAACTGAGAGGAAAGTATAGAGATTTCTCATATACTCGCTGCCCCTACATATGCATAGCCTCCCCCATTATCAACATAACTCACCAGTGGTACATCTGTTACCAAGGATGGACCCACACTGACACATCATAATCACCCCCAGCCCATAATTTCCCTTAGGGTTCATTCTTGGTGTTCTACATTCTATGGGTTTGGACAAATGTATAACGACATGTATCCATCATTATATCATACAGAGTATTTTCACTGCCCTAAAAATCCTCTATGTTCTCCCTGTTCATCTTTTCCCTTCTCCCCCTACCCCTGGCAACTACTGATCTTTTTGATGTCTCTATGGTTTTGCCTTTTCCAGAATGTCATTTAGTCGGAATCATACAGTATGTAGCCTTTTCAGATTGGCTTCTTTCACTTAGCAATATGAATTTAAGGCTCCTCCATGAATTTTCATGGCTTGATGGCTCATTTCTTCTCAGTGCTGAATAATATTCCATTGTCTTGATGGACCACAGTTTATTTATGCATTCACCTACTGAAGGACAGCTTGGTTGCTTCCAAGTTTTGGCAATTATGAATAAAGCTGCTATAAATATCCATATGCAGGTTTTTGTGTGGCTATAAGTTTTTAACTCCTTTGGGTAAATACCAAAGAGTGGGATTGCTGGATCATATGGTAAGAGTATGTTTAGTTTTGTAAGAAACTGCCAAACTGTCTTCCAAAGTGGCTGTACCATTTTGCACTCTCACAGCAATGTATGAGTTTCTGTTGCCCCCCATCCTTGCCGGCATTTGGTGGTGTCAGTGTTCTGGATTTTTGCCATTCTAATAAGTGTATAGTGGTATCTGTTGTTTTCATTCACATTTCCCTGAAGATGTATGATGTGGAGCATCTTTTCATATGCTTATTTGTCATCTGTATATCTTCTTTGGTGAGGTGTCCATTCAGCTTTTAAGCTCCTTTTTTATTCAGTTGTTTGTTTCCTTTTTTTTTTTCCCCTCCCTCCCCCTTTTTTTTTTGTGAGGAAGATCAGCCCTGAGCTAACATCCATGCCAATCCTCCTCTTTTTGCTGAGGAAGACTGGCCCTGGGCTAACATTCATGCCCATCTTCCTCCATTTTATGTGAGATGCCACCACAGCATGGCTTGACAAGCAGTGCGTCAGTGCGCACCCGGGATCCGAACCCGGGCCGTCAACAGCGGAGAACGCGCACTTAACAGCTATGCCACGGGGCTGGCCCCAGTTGTTTGTTTTCCTATTGTTGAGTTTTAAAAGTTCTCTGTATATTTTGGAAAACAGTCCTCTCTCCAATGTGTCTTTTGCAAACATTTTCTCCCAGTCTGTGGCTCTTCTTTTACGGAGTCTGTTCAGCTTTTTACTTGTTGGTGGGATGAAGTGATAACTTCCAAGCTCCTTACATGGGGAACCGGAAATCCTGGAGACCAAATTTATTTTTAACTGCAACATGTAGTTGGTGGGCCCAAGCAGTGATAATGCAATTCCAAGAAAAATATGCAATAGAGACTATAAAAACAGCTAAAAGGAACATTAAAGAGAACCTAGGAAAATCCTCTTATTTACAAGGTGAGGAAAGAGATGGCTGGAGAAGTAACTTGCTCATGGGTAGACACTTGGTTAGTGATGGAGCCACAGGATCTTGGGGAGGTGGGATCAAGATCATGATTCACCCCCACCTACCTCCACCAGGAGGCAGGGACCCTGAATTTGTCCATCTTTGTATGCTTAGTGCTGAACACTGTATCTGGTGCATAGCAGGTCTGCAGTGAATGTTTGCTGAATGACCATATGAAATAATGGAATAATCTTCTCTAAACGCTAGAGATCACATTCCAAAATGATTTGCATTGATTTTATATCTTGCTTTCCACTAGATTGACTTAAACTGATTTCTAAACTACAAACAAACTTCACTTGAAAAGAATTATATGCCATATTAATTAAAGCACATCAACAGAAGGTACAACAGCACTGGTTACTACGTGGGTCAGTAGTGGCATCTGGCATCTTCTCTGTACTGCTGGTTACTCCAACTCTTATAAAATTGGGAAGAAATATGGCAAATAGGGCAGTCTAGAAAAACTCAGCAAGGAACAACATCAATTCTGTGGGTAAGTGTTGTGGAAACTTTATTGTCAGGTCACAGCTAACTAGGAACAAAGAGGAAAAAGGAGGTGCTGGAACAAAAAGAGGAAGGAGAGGAAACTGTGGAAGCAACTGATTCTGGAAATGAACAATTAGATGGGATGAAATAATAGTTACATGTATAAATAATCCTTTATAAAGAATAGAATTTATAAACACAGTATCACTTGCTCATGGACCATTTACATTCCTGAAAATGACTCTTCCTATAGAATACTCAATTAGAATTATCCTAAGTGAGTCTAAATGTTTCTTTTGAATTATTATTAAGGAATAACTTCAGTTTAAATTTTTAAAATGAAATTCCAGTACAGAAGAAAAAAAAAATTTGGATATTCTCTTTAAGTTGGTAATGGGATCTTACTAGAATTACTTGCCGTACCATC